GAGTCGCCATGAAGGCTTTTATTAGAAACACGGTTGACCAAAATACTATGAAAGTTTCACTTCCCCCTTTGTCTCTTTCTCTGCACCGTCACACCCCAACGCTCACCACAAACACCACCATTTTACTTTCTGCTAATTACTATTCAGTTTCCTTTTCTCTATAGAAAAAGATGTGCACCTGCACCCCTTCTGCTGTGATGAGTGTGATGGTGGTTTGTAGTTTCTCTTCCAGTCATTCGGGGTCAGGATGGCTGCAGAGTTAATTACGGTTCCTCTTGGATCTGTGGATTAAACGGATCCACCTTGGAGATGCACTGCAGATACACCCCCCCCAGAACCAATGAGGGGTCACTGCTTTACCGACAGGCAGCACGGACACCCGGTGGACCTGAGAACGGACCCGGGACACACAGAGGACAGTTAGCTTAGCATACCGCTGCTCTCTGAGGATCAGCGGCCTGAGAGGCGGCGACTCGGCTGTGTACAGGTGTGCTGTGTTCATGTTCACCACAAACCAACCGGACAGGAAGTACACCGGCGAACCGGGGGTCCGTCTGTCCGTCACAGGTAACGGATCCAAGCGCTCAACACTTGGGAAGCTGCTGGTGTCTCTGAAGGGATTCTTGGTTCATGGTTTTACAAATGCAGGTTTGCAGGTGGAGATCAGCAGATCAATACCTTTGTCACGAAGCGGGTGCAGGCAGAGGCAGGACTCAAACGCAGAGTTTTGGGAAACAACAAAAAGACTTTAATGGTCAAAATTCCAAAATGCCAAGGGGCTAAAAAAACGAAGGCGGGGACCAGGAACGAAGCACCACAGGATCCACAAACATGCAGACACCACCTCTAACATGCAGACACCGAGGCGACAGGAGACGCACAGGGCTTAAATACACTGGGAAGGTGCAGGTGATTGGACACAGGTGGAACCATCACAGGACAAGGTAGGAAGTGAAGTTACCCGGGGACACGAGGGGCAGAAAACTACAAAATAAAACAGGAAAC